GAAGTGTCCTATTAAGATATCAGCTGAAAAGACATAAGAAACACCGGCAGCAGAAGAAAGCCCCCGGAGGCTCATTTCCGGGTGAGCATATCTTTTTTATGCAAGACAAGAAAAGTGGCTGGCAAACATCAAGGAATGGGAGAGAGAGGAATGGGAAACGAGTGTAATAAATGCGCTCACGAATTTAAGTGAAATGTTTTCGGTATGATGGAAGAGTGGGAAATTTGGGGACAGAGCATGACCAAGGTGCTGAGAAGGTGATAATTCATTGGGAAGCATATCAAATGATTTAGGAATGGCTGAGGGTCGCAGTCGAAAGACACACTGGATTGATTTATGATCGTCAAGCAGACCATTTCCGAACGATCACGTCGAGACACAATCATTCAGAAACTGAAGATGAGTGTGATTTCTAATAGGGTGGCCAACAACCATATCAGCGGCATAGCTAACGTATAGGCAATCGTTGAGCGATCTCAGGTCATCAATGTGAAGTGAGAATAGGTGGGGGGATAAAATGGGATGTTGAAGGACTCCGCAGTAATTAATAAGAGCAGTCGATTTTCGCTTTCCAGACTGGACAAATTGAGTGCGAAAAACAAATTCTTTAACCTAACAGATAATCCAACCATGGGAGCTGCACTGAGATGCCTTGCTGAAGAGAGGATGGTGCGGGACTGTGTTGAAAGCAGAGTAGTCGAGATATGCTTATTCCTGCGCACAGAAACCCTTGCCAGCCTACTTAGAGCAGAGGGAAACGCAGGAGCGACAGCATCCATGGCACTACTTAAGGCTTTATAGGGAAATTATAAAGAGTCGAAGATATTTGTACGAGACTGATATAGTGATATCTAAGTCGAATTTTTCAGTGAACATCAGAAATGCGGAGGAGCATGCGATTGAGCACAAGGATTTTGAGCCAAAACTAGTAGACTTTTTAGGGGTAGGATTGATTCTTACTGCATGCCAAGCGTCGGGCATCTTGACTCCACGAAGGACCTGCTAATAAGGTCCATGAGCATAGGCGCCATATGAAATGAACAGAACCTGAGGAGGAGTGATGAGACACCATCCGGCCCGTCAGCTAGTTATTCACGGACCTTTTGAATATGCTTACCCACCGTGGCAGCAGGCACAGGACAGAAGACGCACGTGGTGAAAGCCAACTATAGTTTAGAGGAGACTCGGGCCACTGTGAGCGAAGATCAAATTTTCGTTTAATAAGTCTAAACTGGTTTCAAAATGTGTCGGTATGCTTCTTTAGCCGGTGAGGCGCATGAGATTCCTCCATATCTCACCAGAGGAAAGCGGAAAAGAAGACGAGGAGAAAGACAGACTAGCAAGCAGATCTTTCAGTCTGGCAGTTTTCCTTCTTGCTAGGACGTTAACCTCCTTTAGACTGTAACGTAGGCTTATTGTACAAAATTCACTCCGACGACTTAAAAATTTGAGGTATGGGGACGGAATTCTGTCAGGCCTAGCCATAACAGTTTTGAGAGGACAACAAATGCCAAAACTTTCATTTAAAAATGTAAGGTGACTTGAACAAGACTCGGCATTCGATGGTGCGAAAAAGTAGGGGTAGCACTAGCTATCGAAATCTGAGGCGAACGAATATTTTGTGAGTGTCGCAAACCGTAATTTTCCTCCCCTGTTTGGTTATCAGTGCACGCTCAGAAGTCCAGTAGATTTTCGTAATGACTAGCATCATAGCATGATTTGATCAGATTGGCAAAGTTGAGAGATCCGGGTTCATTATTTGAAGAAGATGGGCTCACCGGAACAGGTTTATTTAGATGCTGACGTTTCGAAGAGCCTGGTCAACTCTCCATTGTCAAAGCGTAAAATGCACTTAATCGACCAGAGATCCCAAGTGGCATGTCACGCTGGTCGGTCTCGTGCTGATCGATTTTCCTCTCCTCTCGCTGCCTCGACCTCGCGGGGATGGTTGACGGACGTAGTGGTGACTCACAAAGCACACAGACAAAACGCATCAAATTCACCCACGAACCAAACAGGTAAGGATGGTGTGTGCTCAGAAGCTGTAAAAATTTCAGAATGAAGTTGCCATGCGACCGCATACCTACCAAAATTAGCGACTTCCTCATTCATCGAAGATGGACGTACTTGGTATGATGAACGCTCCTTCGTCTTCAGCAGAGCAGTCAATTGCCGCCATTTCATTACCAGCGTTTATTATTGTCGTGATAATTTTCCGGTCATTTGGCTAACGGATACTGCGACTGGAAATGCCATTCACTCGCGCGTTCCTCATGCGCAGGCAAATTCTGGGCGTTGAATATGGAGGGAAGTCATTGCGCATGTTGCTCAGAGAGAACGGTCTTTCCCGCAATTTTAAAAGCCGTTGAATGCAGAGAAAAAATGGCAAGTCCCACCGCAGCAGTTCCAAACTTTTTCGAACCTTTCTGTATCTCGAGAAAATCCGGGGAATTGTCAGCCTTCTTTGCACGCCACTTTTACTAGGAGTTTTACGCTACCCGGTGCCAACAATCAACCAGAAGATCCGTTATCACGATAGGAAATGTCTGGAGTCTTTTATTACATCTGATGCAGTTGTGGGTAAAAGAGTTGCTCCGAAGAAACTGGGAGATCACTTCAGACGCGAATGGCCGAGCACGTAGAAAACGTTAGGTGGAGTGACGCCAACATCCCAATCGCGATCCATGCGACGGACTTGACCACACTTCCGAGTCCGGCGAAGTCAGAATTCTTACAGGAAGTGGGTCTTAACTGGTAAACTCGTGGTTCTCTGATCAGCACCGCGTCAACCAGTGCAATCACATCCCCTATATTCGACCCTCAAAATGTGCCTGCGTAGAGTAAATATCCACACGAGGAGCGCGGGAGTGAATGGCGTTTCCAGTTGCAGTATCGGTAAGTCAGATGGTCGAAAAATTATCACGACAATATTCAACGCTGGTGGTGAAGTGATGACAATTGACGGTTCGGCTGCAGACTGAGAAGCGCACATCATACTAAATTCGCCCGTCGTCTATGAATGCGTTTCTCAAAATAACTCCACCTTCATAATTTTTTCCATGTGAATAATTTCTGAATTGCTTTGCTTCTTCGATTAAAACAGCTATTTCTTGAGACACCTTATGTCATAAACGAGATTCTAAACGATTTATTTCCGTTATTTGAGCGGTCTAATTTGATAAGTCAGTGGGATGTTTTGGCGCTGCAAAACTCCGCACCTAGTTCTCTCCATGTTTTGTGTGGTGGTTCTTTAAATGTTGAACCAAACACATTCGTGCAGCGGAATGAGGTTGTGTCTATTTCCCGACCTTGGCTGGCTGATAAGTAATATTTGGTAGAACGTTTCGATTCGTTAAAGCATAATTTTGCCATAATTGTTTTACCCGCTTTTAAAAATACTAATGCATACAAGACCGCTGGGTTTTCACACCTATGAAGTCATTCCCCATTCTGAAATTCTGTCAAAAACACATATAACGTAAGCTTATTCGTCATCTGGTGGACTCTGGATTGATTCCTCAAGAAAACGTACCACGGGCAGACTACCAAAATTAAGAGGTATCATTTAAAACAGCAGGCTAAGAGGTTAGCGTCAGTATTTCTATGAAAATTAAAATCTTTTGGTGAGGGCTCCGTTCCTGAACTTGCGGGGCATTTGCCTGCATTGGAGTGCTATGGTTTCTCGTCCCAACTCGAATTTAGTCCAGGTAGTTGGATTTCGCACAGTTGAGAAGCCATAACATACTATTCCCTTTACTGGCCACTACGCAGAATGTAAGATATTTCTTTACAGGAGTGACAGCTTTGACATATGATTGTATGATTCTTCTGGAATAAACTGTTGCACAGACCGTCCCTAATTTAATTTCCCTCAAGGGTTTGTTATGAAGATTGCACTTCTCTCTTTTGATCAGTATGATAAAACCACCTTTTGCATCGCCGTTTCTGGCTATCCATCCACTTGTGGCGCACACAACCCGTAAAGTTTCGTGTTTCTCGCTGGAAGTAACGGAAATGTTTAGTCCTTATACGGAGGCCAGAAATGATGTTGTTAAGTATCTCTCAAAAGACCGTTGGGCTGTCTTCAATAAGTAGCAAGTTTGGGTTATCGTCTGTGTTCCTTTTGATTTAGTTAAATTCCAAATTAGAATTTTCTAACTGTCCGTAGGGGATGTATTCGCTAGCAGTCCTTTTGGGAGTGGTGAATCGTCATTTATACTGTCTTCCTTCATATTCTGTCCTAAGCTAAATTAGCGCAAAAAGCAATTCCAGTTTCAGGCCCCTAAACAAATCCGGGGAAAATCCAAACCTATACTGGAAAGCCCTTGATGAGCACAGTGCATTTGTCATTTTTTGACAAAACAAGACACCGTATTGAAGTCAAGTTCTTAGTTCGGCCAGGGAAAACCCCGTCTACTTTCCTGGAGGACATGGTAGTTTATAATAAAACGGAAGTAGTACGTACATTAAAAAGATTAAGGACAGTTTGAAATCTCTTCCAACTGCTAGATCTAAATTTCCCGAATGGGAATAATCTCCATGATTATCTTAGTGAAACATATGCATACCGAATGTAGGAAAATTGTAATGTTCTTCAATCGGAAAGCGTGTTTGTTGTCAAGCAGGTAAAGAGATTTTGTCAGTGGCAGTTTTTTTTCAAGTTTGAGTAAAAAAACTCAAAGGTTCAATTTGTAATTAAAATACTCACACTCGTGGACAATAAGTTTGGTTTTGGTTCCACTATTACCTTTTCTGACTCTTCTTTCGCCAAATTCATCCCGAACCGAAAATGAAATTTAATTTTAATGCAAAATGTAAGTCTGCTAATGGCACCACTGATATCCAGTTACCGTCTATTTAATGCGGACGAAAACTGTCTATACATTCTAACATGGCAAGTGAGGAGGTAGAAAGGACCTCAAGTGGATTTCAAATTATATTCAAAAAAGGCTTCAAAATTGATGGTGCGATACTCCTAGTGTCCGTCCTCGCAGATCATTCTACGACATTTCCTAAAATGAGATAAAAAGCCACTTTACAATGAACATAGTCCAGAGAATTAATAAATTGTAATTGTTCGGTTGCATGCATTGTTTCAAAGGACTTTTGCGAAAGATTTTTATCGCATAATTATAAAATGTAAAGCTTTATCCGGGTCAAAAGGCCTTTCTTTGTAGGAATAACGACAGACTATATCTTAACTTTGCGGTCCTAGATATATAAGCTCCTCAAAAGCTTCATATATTTATGCCCGTATTTCGCCGTTTTTCATGGCCGTAAGACAATGTCACAACTCTGTCAACAGGAACTCAGAATTCCATTTGGTCTAAACAACCTAGTAATACGTAGTGACGTTGGAAATAAAGTTCCAACTCAAAGTAAAAATTCGCAAGAAAACGTCTTGTCATTCGGCTAAAAGCCTACGTCTGAGAGGATTAAATCAAAATTACATAAAATGGTTTAGGAACGGTAAAACCCCTCGCGGACCCATCCAGGATTAGAAGTAAAAGTTGTTCATGATCTTTTATGTGACATACAATTTGTCTTCATCGTGAGAAACGTAGATCTTGTTGGACACGTTTTTCTTTTATTTTGAATTTGCTTCTACGGGAGTCGTCAGACGGTACACACTCCGTCTGATAAATGCACTTAACTCCACCATTACCCATCTCATTAGGGAAACTTTTGGTGGATGTTTACAGTAGTGCATTCTTGCAGCTAGCCGTATACGTTCGACTAGTTACCTATACAGCACTTTTTTCGATTGCAGAGTAGTACTTAATGAAAGCTTTTAAAATTAAAGTTTTATTTATTGGCTGCTCCACCCTCAACCGCACGACTCAAGTCGAAATATCATTAAAAGACAAAGACAATTTTTTCGACTTAGTGGATACAACTTAACAGTTCCCTTGAAAGTGACATAAAAATAAGGACAGCGAGTCTGAATGAAGTTAAGGAATTAAAATATGTTTTCGTAAATTACAGTTTTCTAACGAAAACGCATTTAAGGACTTCTATAATGGCATCTCTATTTGTTTGGTATATTAGGCCCATTTGACTTGGGGAATTTTTCCGGGAGAAAAGTTTCCCACTGTCCGTTCAGAATGGACATGGCATTGTAGCATTAATATAAATGTCCTTGCCTTCTTCTATTCTTCTAGCAGACACTGAGAAAAGCCTGGGAAATTTATAAATCAGTCGATGGACTGGTAGTCGTGTTTTGAGGCAGTAAGAAAATCAACGCAATGGCTGGCCTCCGGTAGGAGTATTCATGGAAGGTACAACTAAACTACCCCATGATAATGAAAGTATGTTTGCTTACGCTTTTACTACCCGACCTTGTATGTCTTCGCTAATTTCTGGAATTCCCGCATCCGTAAGTCAGTTCATGGGTCAAAACAAATGGCCCAAGGTCTATTTTTGTACTGCTATACCCAGTTAGCAGACAGAGCGTCTGGAAATTGTAGAGCTGATAATACATTTTTCGAGAATTCAGAAGTCGGAACACGATTTCACACAGTTCATTAACAGCTGTGAAATTTCTGTCTTGCCTCTTATTGCTTGTCAAAGCTTCCTTAAAGTGCTCACAAGACTATTCTAACAATTCAAGGAGCAATCGAATGAATAAGCATTTTCAAATTTTTCAAACTACAGCACACAATATTTCAAACGGAATATGTCCTTTTTCTATCTGTCTCTCGTGTTACCGTTGATTTGCAGGTTTTTTTAGAGCAGGATGCAACAAATTTTCCGCGGAGATTTTAATCAAGAAACCTACGTTTACGCGTTTTGTTAAGACTGTAGGTGACATGATAAAGCACGTTCTGTCGTTGCAGTCAACAAAAAGTCAGTCCTTAACTTCCGTTAACAACAAAAAACATCAAACGAAATGAATTAACCGTCCGTTTTATTTTGGACCTGCTACTAGCATATAGTTCCTTCTTCCGATTGGACAGGCTTTTCCTCCAAGAAACGGAACTTAACTTCGACTAGCAAATGCAGTCCAAGCCACAAATGTTTTTTGCATGTTCACAATGCTAAGTCTGCAGCCATTTTTTCTGATCTTATTTAATTATCACTAGAAACGCTGAATGCAATTTTAAATTAGTTCAATATCCTGTGTCATCGACGTAAACATTTGTCATTGAGCATTTTTTGACAGGGATTCTGTAAGTTACATCACGGGAAAATTGATACTTTCACCATGAATACTGCAGAACCTGATGATCCACGCTGAATTTCAGAATGTTACTGTGCAATCCATATTACACAGAAGCAGGCGATTTCCATACTAAATCTGCTTTGCATTATTTCAAATGAAAAATGAGATGGTACTTCCGAAATGACAAAAAACCGAATAATTTGGTAAACCAACTATTATTAGACTTTCTTGGATTGATTGGCAGTACTTTCAGATAGATTACACAGCCAGTGCCTTTAGTCCTCTCTAATGAGTTTACCGTTGGTAGTTCCTGACTTATCGGTGTTATTGGGTCTTCCTGTATGACTGTAAAGAATGATATTAAAACTAAATTAATTGTAAAGTCAGATGACAAACACATATTTTCGGTAATCATCATAAGGCCATGAGAGTTACATGGAATTTAAGTGTTCTTAGTGCCTCGTCACGTCCTCGTGCGTTAAAAGGAATGACCTTGTTAAAATGTTAGTGTTTTCTAATAGATGCGGTATTTGTGAAAATATTTCACGACATGGTTATATTTGAGCCATACTTTTACGGTAAAACCAGCTTGCACTTTGTCGATAGCAGACTTATTTTATGCGCTTACAGAAATTTATTGTTCTATTCTGCACCGTAAAAGAGAAGAAAAGATGAAAATGATTTCCAAACCGTCTGCAAAAGTCAAAATAAAGAACCACGTACGTTTTCAGGGTACTGAATGCTTTCGAAAGAGTTGCGTTTGCCGAAACGAAAGATATTCCCCTTTTTGTGGCGGAGATATTGAGGAGTATCGAACAGATCACCTGGAAGGTTGTCTTCCAGCCCCATCGTCTCTGTAAGCATCGCAATTGGGAAGGAATCCCGTGCTAACGCAAAGAATAAGTCTTATTAAGCTAATCACTTTCTAAGCTGACTGGGTGAAAACTTGAAATAAGGTGAACAGTGTTTTAGTATATAACAAGTTTCAGTGCCTTTTCTCTGCCCTACGGATTAATTTTGGGAAATTTTTTACAAGATGACTATCTCCTGCTCATTGTTTTCACACATTGTCTATAGCATTTAGGCACTGATCCTTCGTAGCCTTGGAAACAGCCTCGCCTTTCTGCTACAGAAGTTTCCATCGAGGACAAAAGCCCAAAATTAACTAAACTCAGTAAAAATTCTGAAAAAAAGTCGAATTGCGGATTTGAATTCTGACTTGGTTCTACCAACTGACATGGTGTATCATTTGCCTCCCCTTTCCGGTTGAGGTTCACTGTATAAGAGTGCGTCTTTCAGACCACAACGTCAGATATCTACTGTTTTATTGTATAATTTGTCCTTATTTGTTCCAGAGTGTGAGCGTTTTATTTATTGGTTTTGCTAGACATCAGAGGAATCGCCATTTCATGTAAACCGAGATTTGTTGTCTTCGGTGTTCCCCTAAGAAATTATTCTTGCTCATCTAAGCGCAGAGTAATTTTGTCAGAGTTATCTGATTCATCCTTCTACGAAGTTTTTACTCATTTCATTTCATTATTCACTAGATGAAATTCGAGGTAACATACCGTGGAATGCGAAAAGGTAGCTGCATACTCTTGCACTGTCCCAACGTTTTCTGACATTGAGTTAAGACTGGTCTATACTGAATTTATTTGACTCTTGTTATTTTTTCTTAGATGTCTATAATCTTCGTTAATTTTATTTCCAAAACCCCCCACTGCATCTGTAGAAGTCGTTTAACTGTGTGCGTCTGAACAAAATCAGGGGATCCAGAAATACCCAAATTCGGTTTAGAGTGACTAAGACAGCGAACTTTCGTTGGGGGTTGAAAAAGGGAGGTCCTTGAATGCCCCACATGCGACACCATGAGGCAAAGAAGTGCAGACACAAATTCGCATAGGGTTATCTTTTCAAAGTAGCTGCCATTTAAGGGCACGGTCACGATTAAACTTTCCGTTACTAATGAAAAAACCTGCATTTTAAATAAACGTTTGCCTTCAGTACACTATAAGTAGAGCAAGAAAAGAGTAGAATTCATAGGAAGCCAGCAGATTAAAACGCAGTAAATGGTCGTCAAACTTGAGCTATCTGCTTAAACACCTCGCTGTTCCCTTCATGCATATGCTGCGGATTTCATCTTACTACCAACCGGAGGATAGTAGTCTGGTACCTTAATGTTTAGAAATTTCTACCATCTCTGACCGTAAACATGGATCCACATTACTTGTGTATCTTCATTTTAGAACTTCTGAGAAATAGTTTGAAATAAAAGTCTTTGATGCCTATGTGACCGTAATCTAATACACTTCGTAAGCGAATGCACAAACAGGCAGTTTTGGGACTTATCCTCCTTTTCAGCTGTTTTCAAAGGTATATGAAATACAAGACTGTAAAAGTTGGGGGTCAATGGTAACTTACGTATATATCTTGCGTATGCCAGTCCAAAAACGAGCAGTATCGAGAGACAGGTAATATTCATTTGCCTTCAAAGAAAAGAAGATTGTATAAACAAACTACGTCCATAATTAAAAAAACTGGCATTCAAGCCTAAACAGCATGAAAACAATTTAAGAAAGAACGATTTGACCGTATGATAAGTCAAATGGTCAAGTGGGGTTAAAATACTCCTAAGCCTACCGCATTGATAACAAAGACTGCGAATACTGACAAGCCCGTTTACTATTCACACACTTTATACTGCGACTGGCCACCTGTAGGCAGCTTGATTTACAATTGGATAACAATCTTCCCTAATCATTAAGCGTCTTATTGGTCAGCGGGAAAAGGCTTAGATCCCACCCTTACAGGAAGAACACCTCATCATTTCATAGGCCAAACTAGATAACCCGGGTCTAAATGTTAAGCTCTGATTGTATGCAGGGTATTGCATCGAGAAAGCTTAAATGTCACTTCGTACTTCCCTAATTTGGCTCTTAATTAAAATAAACGCTTTCAAAGACTAGTAAAATAATCGGTCACATGACGTCACAGAATACCGTTCCCATGCATTTCTTAAATCCATGTTGTTGCAGTCATCAAAAGGCAATTTCTGGAAAAAATGAGAGCGATACCTAAAAAGTTATGTCATATCCGATTGTGAACGATGGCATTTTACAGATTTAAATTTATTTGAGAATGTCATACGTTTCTGCAAAAAACCAGAAAACGATACCAGCTCATTCATCTACTGAAAATAATTGATTTTAAGACCAACTAAGTCCGAGATTGCACCGCTCGGGTCTAATACGAAAAGCCTTAATCTTTTTCATCGTAAGAGAATTTCAGATGATGCAATACAGGCAAATCCTCTAAAAGACTGGCGAAATCTGGGATGCCTTACAGCATTTGAGCAATTTTCAGCCTTTGAGGAATAAATGGCGGATATTTTTTAGTAAGCTCTTTGATTCTGCACAAAATTTTACCACATTCGTAAAATGCCTTTCAAAAGGAGGTACTCACTCTCAATATTCCTATGTACTGCCAAATCGATATGGAGTAGACAGTGCTAGGGCATATCACACGTCGAATTAACCTCGCCTGTTATTCATCGAGCGGCCACGTGGAAGCCATGCGTGAGCCCCTTGTCAGTATTATGCGGCAGTTAGGGTCCGTTGAACTTACTCTCTAACTTTACACTCTCTATCTCAAGTCGGCCTCCCGTTAGTGTTGTTTTTGTTTTTGATATTCCAGTCGACAACGTCTCACTACTGGATGAGGCTCGCATTGCTTTCTGTTCCCAACAGAAGCTTTGAATGTTCGCGATCTCATGTTGGAGTTATTAATCAAGGCACGAATCATTTGCTTCATGTAATCTTCCATGGCCATCCAGCCCAGTTATATAATGATAGGGATTTTGTATCTTGCCAATTTCGGTGCGAATCTTTAGCGCAAACAGTCGTGTGGCCAGAGGGGCATTTGACAGGGTAATTATTTACCGTTTTAAAAACAAACAGACTACGACGTTGGAATTCCTTCTTCGTGAATGCTGACGGTAAGAGGACTGGTTTAAAGACAATTAAAAATTATTCGCATCCTGTTATCAGAGAAACACAGGCTGCACTCGAATCACACTACCAATGGTGGCAAAATCAACAAGGGCAAAGTTTGTGTGATGCTGGAACCCAGTAGGCAGGGAAAATAATGACTGAATAGCTTGCAGAGCTGAGCAAAACCAGGGATATACAGACTGTGATGAGATGAGGATTTTGTTCACGGCCATCAGAGCAGTCTGCGGTCCACAATTCAAGGGGACTGCATCATTGATTAGTTAGGATGAAGCAGTCCCACTGACGGAGAAGTCACGGATCTTGAGGCCTAGGCTGTGCCCCTCCAGTGTGTCGTCCTCGATTGCCCCTTCGTTATTTGCAAAGAGGTTGTCCACAAGCTTCCTAGAGTGGGCATTAATTACTACCTCCACCGTCCGTCCTTTCTCCTTGAAGCAATCACTGCAGTGTGGCTGTTCTTCAGTGGAAAATAATCGAGAGTAGATGTAATTTTAGTCAAAAGTTGCAAAAAGAGCGACCCACAATTCCTGAAAAAGTCAACTTCTCTGTCCTAGGAGATATGGCAACAAGGACGAGTCACTCAAGACGTCTAGGATGCTATCGTCGTGCACGTATACAAACACAAGGGACCCGACAACGATGTTGTCACCACAGAAACATCTCCCTTCTCGATGTGGCCGGAGGAATTTCCGCCCATGCCCTACTTAATAATCTGAACACGCATTTAGAGCAGTGGGTTTTTCTTCCAGAAACGCAAATTAAATTACAAAAACAACGCGGAATCCCAGAGACTATCTTCGCGTCCCGCTAGCACTGCTGGAAAAGTGCTAGAAGAATGAGGACCTATCACTACATCAAATTCTTCGATTTGACAAATGGCTGTCAACACAGTGACTCGCGATGGACTCTAGAAAATAATGTGGCAATTCCGATGACCTGAGCGGTTTACTCAAATGGTAAAACAACTTTAATACGGGACGATGGCTTGATTTAAGGATATCGGGAGAGCCTCTGAAGTAGCTGAAGTGAGAAATGGGGTTGAGCGGGACTGAGTACTCGCTTCCACACAGCTCAATCTCACATTCTTTGCCAAGATGACAGACCCTTACCGTGAGGAGCAGTCGATGATCGATATCGTCCACTGAAATGACGGAAAACCTTTCGATATCCGGTGACTGAACGCATCTTCAAGGGTGTACAAGACCAATGTCCACGACTTATTGTTTGCGAATGACCGTACGCTAAAAACCACAACGATTTTGGTTCTCTTCGCCTCCGGCTGCTCCACCTTCGGACCGGCCATCAGAACAGAGAAGACAGTGGTCCTCAGCAAACCGGCGCCAAATACAGGTTGCACAGAATATCGTATTAATGCCAGTGGAAATCACCACACAGAAGTGAAGACGTAAGCGTTCCTTTGGAGTATGGTTTCAAGAAACATCAAGATCGACAACAAAATCGCATGCCAGATCTAGAAAGTCGACCAATGCTACAGACAACTAAGGTACTTCGCTTGAAACCGTCACGTCAGTATCCTCAACTCAACACTGATGATATATAGGACTATTGTTCTGACAATATTCTGGCGACTGGTAGAGACGGACGGTCTATGAAGATTTGAACACTCACCTCAGATGTCTCCGATGGAAGTGGCAGGAAAGGATACCCGACACTGAGATCCCGGATACAGCCCGCGTCCTTAATACTTACGCCATGCCGAAGTAGATAAAACTACAATGGAACAGTCACGTCTTGAGAATTAACAAGGACTACCTCCCCAAACGGTTATTTTATGGTCACATCGCTATGGGCGCTCGCAGACAAGGCGAAAAAACGCATCTCTAAGAGGCGACCCTGAAAACCTCTCTTAAATGCCTGCAAATCAATTCCTAGACATCTGAGGACTTCAAACAAGGTCGACAAGTGTGGCGTACTGCTGTAAAGATGGAGACAGCCATATTCGAGGCCGTTCGACTAACCGCCATCTGGACAAACAGAGAGGCTCGCAAAACTCTACTGTTTGGGACCCATGACGTGAAAACCCCGATCCCAGCATCGTGTTGACAGCGTCAGCGGACTTTTTGTACATGGGTCGGCCTCGTCGGGCACCTCCGGATTCAGTTAAAGGGAAGTGCAGCTAACTCGCCTCCATTTAACAAGACACCGCCACCGACATCATCATCACCATCATCACCACCATCACCATCTCGCTTTCAGATCACGCAGTGGCCTGACCAGTCAGTTGCTGATCGATCGTGCTGAGACCGGATCAGCAATATCCCGAGCCCTAACGTTTGCCCGTCACACACACCACACCCATCATACTGTCACGGAGAATTGACCCATACGCGCCTTAGTGGAAAATCCTCCATGAAACTACACAGGTAATACTCATTAAAACACATCCTCTCGCCCGCATACATAAGCAAACTCCAAGCCACAGAAGGATTTACTCCACAACACGCGCATACACGATATCCCTCAAAAAACCCCATGCCACTGTCTTACAGCAAGCATAAAATCCATTTTTCGTTCTCGTTACGACATAAGAACCGTCGTATGCCAGAACAGGCGAGTCTCAGTTGGGTGAGAGGGGTGACATTGATCTGGCCCCGGACGGGAAGTTTGCAACAGGTTACGTGTGGCACGTGCAGACTGGCTGTTCATCTACCGCTCCTATAAATACCTTCAGTATTCTTAGTAGTATCTCACTTTCGGAGCAAGGATGGTGGGTGAAGAGTGCCCGGTAGAGGCGACATAAGTCGGTCAGACATTAAACTAATCCACATTCTAGTAAGCACTGCTCCAACTCTGAGGGGCACGCGGTGAACGTCGTGGCACGCGACGCTCGAACTGTCGTGTTACGGCTTATCTAGTGGTCTGCATTGCAGGGGCTGAGGTGTGGCGTGAACGACTGATTCTTCAAATGCACGCGTGTACGCCCCCGAATTATGTCAGACTACAGTAAAATCAGTCAACGTGAGACCGCTTGCAGGGAATGCGGTTGACCCCGACACGGTGGGAGATCGTAGCGAGGGCCGTCGTTTACAAGCTGTTTTAATATCAGTCTCATCCTCTCCTTTCATCCCCACGCGTCAATGGTCCACCTAACTCGTTAGTCGGTTGGTGGTTAGGCAGGGTGCAGTGGCTAACGTGACGTACATCTACGTTCAGCGTAAAAGCAGGGCAGCTGGACTGACGCACGTCATGAGACAGCATGGTTTTCGTGTCGTGCTAGCACAGAGCCGCGCAGTCCGTGTGGAGGCCATCCACGCCCTTTGAAGTGAACCTGCCTGTCCGACCTAACCCGAATGTCAATCCGGTAGGACACCGGTGTTTTCTTCTCCCCTTCAAGCTTTATCCTGCCACGTGTTTTCCTGTCTGTTGCTAACATAGGACCGTTTCGTATTTTTATGCAATAAACAAGACGACTAATTGGGATGTTTAGCCCATCTGAGTTAAAAAGTCATTTTTT